GGGAACCGAACTCACGACCTTGTGCTTGCCAGGCAGGCGCTTTGCCGCTGAGCTAAATCCCCAGCCCCAATCTGTACTTTTTAAATGCATACTTAGCTGGCTTCTTAGGCTAATCGTTCTAAAACTGCACCTTCCTTGAAATGGTACTAGAATCCCATCTACAATTAGGTGAAATCCTGGAGGATAACTTGAGTTTGACCAGCTGACAAATTTGAATAAATTGTAGACAGCGGCTAACTAACTTATTACTTTGACTCTCTCTTTTCTAGTTCTGACATTAGCAAGTCTAAAATAATAAACGAAAAATGAAAATAGAGCCAGACTCCGAGTAGCACGGAAAATGCGTCTTTCTGTTCCTTCTGCGCCCACACTGAATGGGTACCTTAGCGGCCAGCCTTAAAAACAGTAAACACTCTATAGAAACTTAAAGTTAGTGCTTTGATACAGAAAAAAAAAGAACCACATTTACTACCCACGAGTCCTCAGGACCCCAAATGTCCTTCCTTTAGAACCGCAGGTAGAACGTGGATGAAGTCTCCTTGTCCTGGAGCCTGGAAATGCCGAGTGAGCGACACTGAGGCATCGGAGACCCAGCCCCGCCCTCGGGAGCCGCTGTCTAGAAGAGACCCGTTCTCTGGAGGTGCTGCTGACCCTGCGGGAACACGGCACTCTGGCAGGCCTCAGCCACCTGCCCTGCTGCTGCTCCATCTGGGCCTTGCTCGGGCTTCCAGCTCTTTGCAGGGCCAGGCTTGGATGCCCCGCAGCACCGCCGCTCCCGTCCGCTCGGGAAAGCGCTCCCTAGTTAGAGTCAGGACCCACTTAGTACACACTTACAGGCTTGTCGCACACCCATCTTCCAGGCTCTGCTTCGCCACTGGCATTGCACCGGATCCAGCAAATGCACTACACCGTGCTATGAACACGCGTGGAGTGACCACGTTAAGGACAGCCTAGGAAGTGGCCTCTTACTTGAGTGAGCCTTTGGAGAGGAACTGTGCGTGTCCAGGACCTCCAGGGAAGCCAGTGTGGACAGGAGCGGGGGCTGCACGCGGTGCTTAACGGACAGTAGGCGGGGCCTGTTGGCAGATTTCCTGCTGACTGTACATAACCACCCAAAGGGGAAATCCCGCACAGGTCCGCTAGTTAAATTCCACCCTAAACAAAACTGATAGGTCTTTAGGTCTCAGGTAGAAATAGGTATTGCTATTACAAATCAAGGAGAAGGAAGAAAGGAAAAAGAAAGGAGGAAAGACAGAAAGAAAAGAGGAAAGACAGAAAGAAAAGAATCCTGTCCTCATGGAGCAATGATTAAAATCTACTTCAGAAGAACATCACAGTTCTAGAGAAAGTGGCTTTATTGGAAAATTTTAAAAATCCAAGTCTTCTGGCAAGCTTAATTTGAAAGCAGCCATAAATCACACTGATCCAAATACCACCAGTGGTTTATGAAATGACCTAGGCCTGGCCTGCTCGTCTGTGGAGTAGGAGGCTGGGACCTTCCTTGGAATTGTGACTGAAATGTGACATAGCTAGTATTACCGTGAGCCGTTGACTTGACTCATTATCATGATATCCATATAATCACCTACCGGGTCTTTCTGAAATTTGTTAGCTAGGGTGGGAGGTTTTAGGAATGCTCAGACCACTATTTAGTTTCAAGATGATTGATGGGATAAATTTAAGCTCTACTTACATACCTCCTTGGTGCCAAATTGGTTTTTAAAAACTTGGGCAATACCCTCTCAAGTTAAAAGGAGACAAATTTAGAGTACCGAGTAGCCAGCCGCGGAGACCTCAGTGATGGTGGGAATGATGAAAAATGCTGCTGACATACCCCCGGACGCTGCAGACCTCCTGTGAGAAACTCATGAGCTCCGAGTTCGTTTTCTCAGAGAGCTGCCGGATTTATAGTTTGTCCACAACTCAGCCAGTCTCCACAGATCCCGGGAGAGTGGACGTGTGGAGGGGGAAGGAACCAGCATCCTTCAGACACGGACTCTAGTGCCGTGAGCGCCAGACCCGCAGCCAACACAGCGTGGTGTGACTGTACTTTAAAATTTAAAAAATAATTTTTTTCCTTCAGCAAGTTTAAACTGCTAATGGCCTTAAAGGTTTATGGAGGGAAAGAAAGGAAGAGGTTGAGAAAGAAGGAAGGTAGCATGAAGGAAAAAGAAACTCCTACAGTGACAGCTGTTTCTCTGCTATGCCCCGCTCCTTCCCTTCCTTTCCCTTCTCTTTCCTCCCCTTCCTTCCCCTCCCCTCCCCTCCCCTCTCCTCATCACTCCCTCTCCCCCTTCTGTTTAATCTTCAGCAGGTGGACACTCAACTGATCTCTAAAAAGAAGGGACACAAAACTTTTATTTTGGTTCTTTCCCTCTTTGTGTTATAAAATGAAGGAAAAAAACCCTTGAGATCTTGAGGTCATAATGAAATCTTGACACCAAGGTTTCCTTTCTTTCTTTTTTTTTGCTTTTTACTTTCTTTTTTTGATACCAGTGTTTCTCAAAGTAACACAGGGCACCTTTCAGTGTTTGCACATACCTGAGCCATATAACCAGCTTGGTAAAGGTCTCATACTATCCTTCTGAAGTACGGTGGCTACAGAAGGTGCTGTCCTAAAGAACTGGGCTTTGTGTGGCCCTCACATGGCCTCTGGCAAGAAAAAAAAATACCTGCACCCACAAAATCAATCACTTTTTTATGAACACGTAAGAATAGCAACTATCAATTTTATTCACAAATAAAAAAGTATAACAAAACTACTTGTATAGGAAAATTACAGTATGCAAAAAGTTATCATGAATTCTAAACTGATCCAAACTACCTGAAAGCAATGACGCTCTCATCCCTTTGATCTTCTTTTCCAGCACAGACGGCAGTACTTAATCTCAGTAACAGCAACATTAACACTTTCTCCAAAGCAGAAAAGTTTGTATGTAAAAATATATTCCATATACAAAACGTTTTAAAAGAGCACGAGCTGATGTGGTTATTCTTCAGATCCTTGTGGCTTCGGCACCACGCCAGCCAGCGAGGACGGCTGGGCCGTGGGGCACGCCGGGTGGGCCCCCCACATCAGCACTGTAGCAGCAGAGCCGTGGTGCCGTGCAGGATCTTCCAATAATGGGAAATACAAACTGGATTTTTTCTTCTCAAGTGTTTGCAAAGAGTGTAAAATACAACATTTTTGTATGTTTCTAAGTAGTGGTGAGATGTCTCCATCTTGATAAAAACAGCCCAGGATTTTTCAAATGCAGTATTCAAATGGAATCAGTTTTCAACCCTAAGCATTTCTGTACTGATTACAAGTGATGGTTCATGATTTGGGGCCAAAGTCTCATTCCTGTCAATCTGGCTTCCTTCGCACATGTGTCCTTGAAGTGACTCAGGGATGTACATACGGGAAATATATTCAGGTTACGCAAAGAAACACAACCCTGCCTATTTTGATCATTTCCATCTCTCTTGTCATAACAGAGGTGATGAGACTGCAAACAATGACAGACACAGGGGAAGGCAGGGAAGCCACTTAAGGAAACCCGACTTGCATTTGCATAGATGCCCTGTGGTCAAGTCCTAAAAACTTTACAAGATTCCTAAGGGCAGTTCTCGTAAGAGTCGATGACTACTAAAGTTTAACAATCAGTGCTGCATGCACGAAAGAAAACAAGCAGGAAAAAAAAGGCAGTCAATGATGACTGGGCAGTTGGACGGCATCGAAGGTTTCGGGCTTCTCATTTTCTCCTTCTGGTAAAGGAACCGAAGCCATGGAGAAGTACCCAGACACAGGCACACCACTGTACCCACATCGGCACCTAAAATTACGCGGAGAGAAATGGCCACAAGGAAGAAACAGGCTCACTGAGTTTTACTGATCTTTACAAAGACAAATGTTGGGGTAGCAAGTGAGAAGATAAAAATGGTGCAAGAAAAACAAATTAGTTTTAACTTTCGGTTTAAGTGTCAGGTAAAAGACACCGATCCAGGTCGGGCAATCCGCACACAAATACCTTAGTGCCCCTCTAACACATGGACATGGAGAGGTCTATTTATTTTTTCAGGGTCCGTGTGACAGAGCTAATAGCAAGCAGTTAAGAGACAAAGGCCAGATCTGATCATGTAAGTTGGAAGAGGAAAATAATTAAGCCCTGCTCAATTAAGTCTGCTCAAGGGCATAAAGATTAAGAACAAATGAGGCACCCCTGGCTTCGTGACTGGACTGGGCTCATGTTCTGCTTCCCCTCAGACAAACTGGCGCATGAACAGCAACATGCAGATGTCGGAGTACTTCAACAGAGGCACCGGACACCTCCGCTATCTTCTGGCACAACAGGAGATTACGTTCTGAAAAATTCTACAAGGTCAGAGGGAACACTACTACGTCCTGGTCAAACTACACCTTGCCAGTTCTCCCAAACAGCACCTACAAATTGTGCTTTTTCTTCTGCGTCTGATAGCAAGTGTATTCTTCCTAAAGACTACTCTGGCAGTAGAGGAACCTGATACGCTGAAATTTCTAAAGCCTTTAGTATAAGGTCCAACGCAAAGAAAGGTCACTGTATGGATAAATACTGCCCTTCTCTACTCAGGCCCAGGAGCAGATGTAACAAACGTTTCCGTGTCCACTCCATTTTAACACATCTACACTAACCCGTGCAATCCAAGTTCTAGGAAACGTGTTAGTGGTTTTTGAACTGGGGTTCAGGGCCACCCTTTCCAGACCACAGTGAGTAACCCAGGTGCCTTTTCCTACCAGCACCAGTGGGTATCCACGAGACAGAGGCCAACGTCAGAAGCGTAGATTCTGGTAAAGAGCTGTTCTCCAAAACAGCTAATTCCTAGTTACGTCTGTTGACCTCATCTACTTAGCACAAGACTGAGGCAGGAAGTATGAAGTCAGTCCTGACCACCTAAGCTAACGAGCCTTCGAAGATGAAAAAGTGACCTTCCCCACCAGCAGTACCCATTCCGAACCCATTTCACACAAAGAAAACAAGGTCAGGAGTCTGACGTGGACTCTTAGCAGGATAACAGGCTATGTAAGATTATTTGTAGAAAGAAAATGTCAGTCAAAATTTATGCTCTGGGTTGCCGTCTTGTAAAATCAGTCACCAGGAACGTAAGCCCAGGTGTCCCTCCGTCTTGTTATGTGTTCGTAACTGCAGTGCCCCCGTCTTTGAAGTCACTCTTGAATCCGACAAGCTTCTCATTCAGGGAAGACGCCCAGGATTACAGTCTGCCTGGAGTCCTTTCTTGCTTTTCATTGCGGTTTCAGCTCACAGCTAGCCTGGCTCGGAAGCAACTGGTTGAAAGGCTTAGGGCTAAAGGCTTAAACTGCCGTCGGTTTGGTTCAGATTAATTTTTCCCCAGGAGCCTCTGCAGGGTCCAGACCGCTCGGTCCATATAACAAGGGGCACGCTTCCTGGTCCTCACATTTCCACTGCAGGAAGACGGCGGCCTTTAGGCTTCCTGAAACAGCGACAGAAAGAAAGCTTCAAAAGCAGTATTTTACAAGATAAAGCTGCACGACACAACTGTAAAAAGGTACTACACCTAAGTATTGCTAGGACTATCTGAGAATTTAGTAACAATGGACAAGAAGCTCATCTAGTGATATTCAAATATCTAAGAACCCATGTACTCTACTCGGAGAATAAAATGAAAGATTTTGTAATAAGTCCCAGTTGCTCAATATTTGCCAACATAAAAGATGATAATGTAGGGGCTGGGGATTTAGCTCAGCGGCACAGCACCTGCCTAGCAAGCGCGAGGTTGTGAATTCGATTCCCGGTATTGGGGCGATGATAATGTGAACTTTAGGAATCACAATGAATTAATGAACAATTCTTTTGCTGATTATCAACCTCATTCAAACATTTACAGCTTGTTTCTTCTCTCCTGGGCTCCTTTAAAGCATTTGTAGGTAATGACTGTAAGATTCTTTACGCCTTTCTTTCAAAGAACAAAGATGATAATGAATAGTGTCATCCTTTACCTGCCAACTTAGTTTTTGCACTTAAAACTTCCACCAAATTACAGAAGGGCATTTAGAAGTAGTTTGGGAATGAGATTTCTCTTAGAATGATCTCCATGGAGTACAGAATCTTCCTAGGGCAAATATCCTCAGCACAGTGGAACTACGTGACCTGTGGTTCTTACAGAAGGCACTGACTTCACCTCAGGAAGGGACAAGGCGACAACCAAGTGGCCGCCACTGGAAAGGAGTGTGCTACGGTTGACACAGGCAGTGTCCCCGGTGCAGCACTAGGTACAGGTGGGGCCAGAGGAGCACAGCGCTAACCTCATCGAAGCGTTACTCCAGGACGGGTCTGCCCCCCGACCGGGCTGGCAGCAGGTGGGGCCGTGTGAGAGGAAGTGGGCCACAGGGCACGGCTGTGAAGGTGCACCTTCTTCCGGGCTCTTCCCTCGCACGCTGCTTCCTGGCTGCCGTGAGGTGAGCAGGGCCTCCCACCACATTCTTTCTGTGTTGCGAACAGCCAACCATGGACTGACACCTCTCCATCTGTGAGCCAAGTAAACCTTTCTTCCTTTAAGTTGTGTTTGCTGGTATTTTGTTCCAGTAAAGACGGGTGACTAAAACCCTAACAGCTTTATTTCATGGGTTAGCCATCCACTAACTTATCACTGCTAACTGGCACCAGTGGCATGGATACGTTTATGGAAAGAAATTCTTTCTAGGCCTAAAGGTATTCTCTAGAAATAAAAGTTTCTGAAGTCCTTTTAATGACAGGAGATGATTTTATCCAATATGTTGATCAACTAATATGATAATAACCATATTAGTCCTTGTGGTGAAAGGCAAATTAACCTCATTTTGTTAATATGAAAAAAAAAGAGGTTTTAACAGATTGGAAAACTAGAACCCAATTCTCTCATATCCTAAAATTCTATTTCTTTATGTTGATCTTTAAAATCATAGCTAGAAAAATAATGTTAAGAAATACTTTTCCTCTAAATAGGCTGGCTTCATTCTCCCAAATATCCCTACAAATGGCGCCCCAGATACCTCAGCTCCCCCTCCTGGAAGACGCATACGGGGAAAAGCTGAGTAATGTTCAGTTATACAGACTAAAGAAGGGTCTCAGCTATTCGCTTTTTCCTGAACCTTAAGTATCATAATCAGACTCTGGGTGGTCTTAAGCCGCTCACAGAAAAATTTGTGTGGAAAAAATAGTTTTTGGAAACAAACACGTCACATTTGAAATCACAGCCCCATACCAAGTAAAGACAAGCGCTGTTCTGGGTTTAGCTGTCCCTGCTATACCCCAAACAAACACAGCACCTTCCTGAGTTCTGAAAGAGCCCATGTTACGGAGCCAGGTTAACTAAATCTGAACTCGGGGGATGGGCAGAATTAACAAGAAGCTTGCTGCTGAAGTGTAATTCTCTGTAAGAAGTAAATATGCTCTCTACTTTGAAAGTGAGTCTGTTAGGAGGAAATGTGAATTGCATTTTAGAATTTAGTAGTCTGAAAACCCAAAAGCTTGTTCAGTTAAGCACTTGGCTGAGCCTTGAGATAAGGAAGAGGCCCAAGGCCCCAGAGGTTTGGAGCTGTTACTGCCTCCTACTTTCCTTTGAAGATTGAGGTTAGTTTATTGCATTTTACACGTTCAATAGGTGTAATTGAGGAGAAAGTGGTTTTCCAAATCTGGAAAAGATTATCTCTGAAAATGGGCTCAGGGTTAGGGATGTAACTCAGTAGTAGAGCACTTGGTTAGCAGCATGAGGTCCTGGGTTGGACCTCATGCAACACACACACACACACACACACACACACACACTCCTCAAAATATTAGTGTTTTTCACTGTAAAGGAAAAATGCAAATGGTTTACAGTTCAACAGTTCCCTTTCTGGATTCAGAATTTCAACCTTAGATTTGAATTACCTAATAAGTACAAGATAGCACATTCTGAAAAGTTATTTAAAATCTGTCATTAATAAATTATACTGTGCAAACCAAAAATAACATTTTCTCATTAGATTCACTTTACATGTAATTACAACCTTTCTTGTAATGATTTGCATTGAAAATACCTTTATGTAGATCAAGACAAATTATCATAAGCTGTCTTTGAGAAGGACTGCCATATACGCCAGTCCTAGGTACTAAAATATGCTTCTGAAAGCCCACACATACGCACCTATGATATTCGTGATTAGAGGCCCTTCTTCATTCCTCTAACAACTCAAAGAAAAACAGGAGGACAATGAGCTTGCTCTGACATGAATGGGTGTCCAGATGTTTCACTCTTTAATCTCACCAACTTATACCACCAATGGGGACCAGCTGCAAAACTGAGGCGATAGTAACTCTGTTTCCTGACAAAGTTCTGAAAGCTTTGCTCGTCATCTGGGAACGGGGTCACTTTGCTCCTCAGGCCCTCCCTGCCGGCGTCCGCACCCAGGACGCGCACTGACTCCCGACGGGTGGCGGCCAAGGCCTCCAGCTCCTTGCTGCCGAAGGGGTGGGACTCCTGTGCGCTCCTCGTACGCCCTCTTGGCTGGGTCGCAGCACCCGTTAGCTGCTTGCGGCTGCCGGGCCTTCTCAGCCCGTAAGTTTTGCGGGGCACAGTCTGTGCTTTAGACTTACACCTAGCCAGGGAAATTCCCAAGTTTTTTCTTACTTGTGATCATGAAAGTTACACAAGATGGAAGGGCTTCAAAGGATAAAACCAGTGAATGATCTTTTTCAGTCACAAGCAGAGCTCAGATGTATACAGTTTATGTTTTTTAAACTGCACAATTTTATTTCCCTTCATTTACCTCTTTGTATATTCCTCATTTTGGGACCAAAATTGTACTTTCTTCCCCCCCAAATCCAACTAATTTTCTCTCCGGAGATTTTTCTATAAATACTGTAGAAAATGTCTTTGTAGCTAAAAAAAAGCATGGCAGATTCAGATCAATATGTAACGTAGGTGCTGATACATACACTGAGAGACCTATCTAGCGTACACTTTGACTTCGGCTGTTTGTGATATAATTAGATGAGGCCATGCTCTGAGCATGCGCAGTGTATGGTCAGCGTGTACTTACCTGGGGCCCTACCCCAACCTGATTTTCAGCTCTCCTTCCTGCTCGGATCGAGGGTGCATCTGGTCCCAGATCACAACCATCAATCAATTTCCAAGCAAACTGACCAGTCAAAGCAAATTATTCCAGAAAACAACAGTATAAGAGGAAGGAGGGAAAGAAATAGTTTTAGGTCACTCAAATTCTGATTAACTTGACAGCGAATGAAGTTTTGGGCATAAGAATATCACACACACAAGAGAAGACTGGGATTGTTTGTGAGATACTCCCACATCTGACTCAGGTCTCTCAATCAGGGAAGGAGGCTACGCCAAGTAGTTAGATTTTTTGAAAAGAATGGAAGAATGCAGCCAACTTGTATGGTCTTCTAGATTAGTTTTTTTTTTTTTTTTTTTTTTTTTTTCTTCGGTACCAGGAACCGAACTCACGACCTTGCGCTTGCCAGGCAGGCGCTGTGCCACTGAGCTAAACCCCCAGCCCCTCTTCTAGACTAGTTTTAAGAAAAGATCTTGAAATTTATCCCACAACGTATTTTTCTAAAGTGTGCAAGTGAAAAAGCCTTACCTCCCTTGTGTTATGGCGGGGACACAAGCCAGGGCATGGCATGCCGGTCAAGCACTCTACCACTGAGCTCCCCCCAGCCAAGTCCCCTGAGTGCACAGTGGGATCGGAGCTCCATCCCTGCTACCAAAAGTGAATGCCCTGCAAAATCGTGCTGAAAGGAGGCACGGCCTTACCTGGAGGGACGTGGCCAGGCTCATGGGCTCTGTGGCCTCTGGTTCTAGCTGGCGTCCTGGAGGCAGTGCATCTGGGACCGGAGCGGGCTCCATCCCTGGGTTGCTATGTCGAGATAAGTCAGTAGTTTCTGTGAAGTCTGCGGCGCGAGCTTGAACTGAAACAGCTCCACAGACCAAACCCTGGCTACTGTCTGAATCCAAAGACGCTGAGCTCTCGTTTTCTGGACCAAGAGAATTAATATCTTCTCCAGTGAGTTCAGGATAGGAGTCACAAAAGGAGATGTCGTCCCCACCCATGGGGTTTTGCATCAGAGGACAGGCATCGGAGAACTCGCCACAGACGGAGCGGGACAGGGATGCGAAGAACGCTGGCACCGTCTCCCCGACCGAAGCTGCGTTTCTGAACACACATTCAAAAGGCGCTTTACTGTGAGAAATAACACCACCAAGCAGCAGCTCAGCTATAACTTGAAGTCTTCAGGAGGAAACAGCAGTGCATGAGGTCAGAATTCTAGTGGTTCCTGCTGTTATAAACTTGCCTCAGCACAGTGAGTCCAACTGTTCCATTTGCTTTAAAACTGACTTCTACACCTCTTTCTCATTAATAGTCTTTACCCAGTGTCTGACCCAGGAACACTTCTGGTTTCTTAGATCTTAGCTGAGGTTTCTTCACTGTTGTTTTAAAATTCTAGACTGGTACATCACTAGTACATGACACGTTAACCACTATTTACAGATGACAGAGGTGTCATGGATATAAGATAGAAACAAAAGCAGTGGAAAGCAAATATAAAGCATGTTGCCCTGGATGCTAACAACCTTGAGAGACCTATCTAATTCTCGCTCAAAGAATCGCTCCCATTCAACATACAGAATGCCATTCATGATATTTAAAAAGACACGTCCCCATAGTTCACATGAAACTTGGTACGTGAGCAGAAGGCGTACTTGCACCAGGGGGCAGGAAATTCTGAGGAAAAGTGCACTAGGGGATATGAAATTCTGATGAAAAGCGCCCCGTTACCTTTCCTGAAGGGCGGCCGCAGAGTGCAGGGCACAGCCTAGGGCCAACCGGTCGGTGCCGCAGGCCCTCTCACAGCACAGGGACGGGATCACGTGGACGGGCCCTGCGGAGCCAGCAGAGCGTGAGGCACAGTGCTCTCCTACGGGAGCTTTAATACCAGTCCCACACCGCTCTTTCTGCAAGCGTGGCTACTTACTGTAGGTCTGGGCCGAGTCCTGGTGGCACTGGCAACAGGCCCTGTGAGCGTACTCACTGAGCCGAGGTCTGTCAAAACACGACAGCTCAGAACCGCTGTACTGGATGTCCTGCGATCTCAGGGACCCTGGAGGCGCAGATAAGAATTCTGTCAGGGAACCCAACTTCCTGTCTGAAGCAGCCGCACTGACACAGTACTGAAGACTGGTCCTATTCTAGCTTTCTGTCATTCGTTTGTTTGTTTATTTATTTGAGACAGTGTCTTACTCTGTATTTCAGGCTGGCCTTGAACTCACTATCTAGCCCAGGCTGGCCTCAAACTCACAGCACTCTTCCTATCTCAGCCTCCCAAGTGCTGGGATTAGAGGCATGCACCACCATGCCTGGCTAGCTTGTGTTATTTTTAAACGAAAAGTCAATTTTTGGTTTCAGATACTTGTTGAGTTACAACAGAATTGCATCCCGCTAAACCTACTGTAGCTGGCAGGTACTGCATTTAATCTGCCCAACCCAGGCAACAGCCTTGCTTCCCTTCCACAGGCTCACAGCATGCCCACGGGGTTCTAGCACACAGCCCAATTTACAAAGCCCTGTGGGGGATCTCAGGAGATTCACTGAGCCCTGTTTTGCACATGAGAACCAGAGTGGCTATATGGGGTTTTTCTTTCCACACCACATGCAGTAAAACATTGTTCAGCTAAACCTTGGTAAGTTGCAGACTGTATGAAATTCTTACGCGGAAGCCCAAATGTGTAATAATTGGTTAAGATGTGTCAGAATGCAAAGTATTTTCTTACTAGAATTTAGGATGATTTTGATTTTGCCTCGTGGCAAGGGGCTGTCACAGCCTGGTCAGGGCCTGGTGCAGGCGCCTTCCCCGGTGAGGTGCCCATGGTCCTCCACCCTCCAGCAGTGCTGACACCTGTCCAAGTCTCCCAGGCACACTTCCGTGACGGCAACAGTAAATGCACTTCACCCAAACAGGGAGAAACCACGTAGGAAACTCACAGCTGGGTTTCTTTTCCATGAACTGTCTCTTACAGTAGATGACGCAGAGGATGAGGAGGGCCAGCAGCACGGTGGCCAGGGCGCTGCAGATGACCGCAGCCAGGGCCGTGTCCCGAGGGCTGGACGCTGTGGACGCGATCTTCACAAGGTTGACCTTGCTGGTACCTAGAAAGGGCAGGAGCGGGACTGGCATCCACGGTGTGACCCAGGGCATGCAGTGCTTCCCCGGGTTCACGGCATCTCAAGCAACAGCCTTCATGGGACAGAGACAAAGCCCGCGCAGGAGACCAGAACACGTCCAAACGTTCTCTCCTCTTAGGAGATTTCTTAAACACTTCATCTAGGTCCTGCACCCCCAAATGTGTTGGGGTCCCCCCCTTACACTCCCACAGTGCGGGCACACAGTGCTCTGTGCCTTCTGCTGCAGAAGTCTGCCGTCAGTCCTCCAGAGAAGAAAGACGGGCTCCGTGGTCTTGACGGCTGGGTGCCCACAGCTCGGCCGTGTTGGGCACAAAGTAGCTTTGCGGTGAAGGAAATTACCCTTCCGTCCTCTGAAGGATGGCACAGACTCACGACACACTAAGGGGAGAGAGCAGGCACGTGTGCTTCTGCACACAGGGGCGAGGGCCCAGCACTCCCACAGGTTCAGATGCCTACGGGCCCTTCTCCGTGGGGGAGAGGAGGTGGGGGCAGGGTACGTTTGTGGCACTAAATGACGATCAGGGGCTGATGGGGCTGGAGACCAGGTACTGGCTGGCGAACACGTCTCTTCAGGAACGGAATGGGATCAAGATGCAGAACGGTCTCTCTTGACAAAGACTAGCTAGGAATAGGGACATGTCTCAGTCTCTATTTCTGCAACAGGAGCTTAATCTTTTCTGCTTAATAAAATCTCAGGGAGGGGATCTAAGTGCACTGTGTCCCCTAGGTGTATCAGTCTTTAAGTGGATAAGGGAACTGCAGAGCCCTTTCCTGGCACAGGCCGACCCCTAGGAGCCTGCAATTTAACCTAAGCAGCACACCAGGGTGCTGCGTTTGGGGGGCCGTTTCTGGACTCCGTCAGTGGGTATTTAATGTTTCCTATTTAATTGGAATTGGGCTATTTTTGGGAAGATGTCATAAACATATTCATGGATAATTTAAATTGCCCAGAAAGCACATTTTAAAGTTTTAAAAAGGCAAAACTGATTTTGTAGTTGACTTGATCAATATTTCAACATGTATTCAATATGAAATGGTTAATGACATCTTTTGTATTCTTTATTTTCTCCAAAAATCTCAAAATCTGGTGTGGTCTTGCGGGGCAGCCCATCGCGCGGCTGACGGCCATCACGACGGATGCCAACCCCCGGCGGGGGGCCCTGCCCACACCTGTGCTGCCCAGGTGACAGCTTGTCACCCCGAGGTTTCCCTCACCCCGGCTACACGTCCCCCAACCAGCAAGACTGCTCCCCACTGTCTGACCCCAGCTAGGACCGCAGAGAAGCACGGGGGCTAATATTACCGAACTATAAAAGAGGGACCGCTGGAACTACCACTTTCGGGTTCGAGTCCTAGAATTTTTAGTCTCAACAATTCTAGATCACACAGACAAAAGTTTCTCCACAGGAGCTGCATGCCTTAGGCTTAGAGGAATAGGAGCTATAATTCGATCACACGTTTTAAAGGACATTTATTTGTAACTCCGTATAATATTCATTTCTGTGGTACTGGGAATTGAACCCAAGGCATCTGCATGAGCTGTACCCCTAGGAGACCCATCCTTCTCTAACCTATTTTTTTTTGAGACAGTGTCTTTTCATCTTGCTAAGTTGCCCAGACTGGTCTTAAACCTGTAATCCGCCTGCCTCAGCCTTCCAGAGTGCTGGGATTATAAGTGTGCCACCAAGCTGGCTCAAAAAATATTTTTAATAATTTATAACTGTGTAGAAATACTATAATAATCAAATAAAACATACTAAATGCTCAGCATACAGCAAGTTAAACAAAGCAGATCCCAAGCTGATAGGGATTAAATCTAATCTTTCTTTTGGTACCAGGCATTGAACTCAGGACTTCACGTCTGCCAGGCAGGTGCTCTGACACCGAGCTAAATCCCTGGCTGATTAAATCCAAACCTCCAAGTGCCTTTATCAGTGGACAGAGTCGGGCCCAACGGTACGAACAGTGACAAATAACCCAGTAGAAGCTCATGTCTCGAGCAGGTCCAAACAGCAGGTCACACCAGAGGGGAGTGACTCAGAAATGGAACAGTCATCTCTTCAGCCGAAAGGTGAAGTTACAGAAAGCCGTCATCTCAGCACACTGCTCGCTTCAGAGTGGGGACAGGGCCCTGCACCTAAATCCCGGTCAGACAACGCAGCCCTGCCCAGCAGCAGCTGCCGTCACAATGAGGCACAAGGCATGATGTGAGCAGAAGACCTCAGAGTTCTCGCAGTGTAACTGTTAAGTTTATCCACTGGTCAGCACCGGCTATTCAGAACAGTCCTAGCAAGCACGGGCATTTAACGTTAAAGCAGTATCATTTCAGAGTTGTTTAAATTTTTGTCACTGAAAATTCTTCCACAGTGTATCAGTCAACTTATTTATCTTCATACAAAAGGAATCGCCTTTAACTTATAAATGGGTTTAAATGTCCTCAAAGTGGGGATTTTATTTTTAATTTGGTAGTTTGCAACTCAGGATTTATTTTCTCGAAACATAAAAGTCTTCATAGTACACATCTTTTCCAGGTAGAGCACTCATACTGTAGTTTCAGTGAAATCAAGTTGCTATAGTATCAGTTTTAAAGAAAAGTACACCAATATCTCTCTACTGATCGTTCTAGGAAGTAGCACCTAAAGAAGAACAAGAAAAACACGGAAGTTTTGTATCTCAATTCTTGACCTCTAAGTAAGAAAAGCCACTGGTTCAGTCCAGCAGCCTCCGAGAGTCCTCCCACAAGGCCCACAGTCCTGACAGCCACACTCTTGATCCTGTTATGTGTGTGTGTTTATGACAACACCTACTGCAAGGCACTGTTTTCACTGAAAACGCTTAGTTCATCCTTTCCGGTTCATCATTTGTATCTGTAACCACCACACACAGCAATACAGATATAAATATGGAAGCTGTGAAGAGACAGGGATGACTTTTAGAATAGATTTAAAAACTCATTCATATAAGTTCTGTGTTTAAAAAGCTCATTTTTAAATATTTTTTAAAAGATGTATTTATTTACTTTTTTTACCAAAGGAAATGTATTTCAAAAGCATAAGGGAACATTTACATTTAGACAAAGTGATAAACAGGTGTCTTGCAAAAGAAAACTCCACGGTGTGAAGTTTTTCATTTTAATTTTTAAAGCAAAAACCCCCTAACTATGGCCTTAGGAAAGGGAAGGGGATGAGTGCTGAGGGAAGGAGCAGTATTAAGTCAGCATCAAACCTGAGAAAGTCAAGTCACTTTTGTTCAGTGATAAATTGACACATATGCTTAAAAAGAGGGAAACATTACACTTCACTTTCAAATTTACATAGCTGGGGCCCCAACTCAGTTTCTGAAATGGAAAAAGCCCATTTTCTTATAATTTTATCTGACTTGAGCAGTGAAAAAAGGGTAGGAGCTGAGGTTTGCATTGGATGTATCAAGTGCCTTCTGTGCTGTTGCACTTGGGCCAATTGAGATACTTCTGAGAGCTCAGAAAAGGACTTCTCTGCTACAAGCTAGAAAGCATTATCTTGCTGACCTCTGCCTATGGCAATGCACTGTGCTAAAGACGCATCCTGTCCTATGCATTGCCTAAATTGCCTACCTACCGCTCACTAAGCATATGGGATTTTTACAAGGAATCTTACCCACAGCGCTTTAGAACTCTGAAGAACTGGGAAATAGGGACATTCACATGCTTTAGAAACTTCTCACTTTTCCTGATCACAAAGGCATCTCTTACCCTAAGCAGTGAAGTTATCAGATTCCACGTCACCCTTAGCACAGTCCTGTGGCAATTACTTAAGAGTGAGGACTGTTTTCTTAGTTTAAGTTTTACATACTACACACACACACACACACACACACACACAGGAATGAGGAATGATTGTATACTACACATCTGCGTGGGAGTTCCGCTCCACTGAGCGATCACACACTGTGTCTGGGAGGAGGATGACACTCCACAAGGCATTAGATAAGCTGAAGAAAGCAGAAGGAAAGAAAACAGAAGTCCCAGCAAAGTTTAGCAAGTGTTTCTCCAAACTCCAAGGTGACCCTCTTTGGAGTGTGATGGAGATAAAAATCCGCATCTCACTCCTCCAGGAGCCTGTGAGTGCAGCTGAAGCAACGTGGGATACACATGTATTACAGGGCTGTTCGCGGGGTAAAGACGAGGAACACCGAGGTGCTGCGAGTCAGGAGTGCACCTGCGGGCCAGAGCGGCAGCAGGAGGAGAGCACGGCTAACTTACCGCGAGCGCCCAAAGACGCTAACAAAAGGGAGGACCTCTGGCTGATCACTGACATCGACACGTCAAATGATGCCTAGGTGATTAGGTCTAGATTTGAGCCCAAGTTTTAGAGTTTGACTCTAAAACTTACATTCTGTGTTTCTTTTTAAATTATACTATATTCTTGAGAACCATTTGGATTATTGGCTCAAATTTGTACAGGCGAGTAAATTCGAGTTAGTCTGCTAGCATACACAACACGGTTTGACCTAACTTAAAACACAACGGTGGCTTCACAAATTTAACTGGTTTTATCTCTAAGATTAAAGAGGCTACTGCACTTTACTACAGTGAAAAACAACATATGACTTTCAAACTTTATTTTTAAAATGCTATTTTTAAAGTCTATGTGATACAAGTAGATGTGTTGGATAAATATAATAGGGAAGAGCAAATCATAGATTAAACGTTCTGTTGGAGTTTCTGCTTTTAAGATTCACTAACGCCTGCTTTTTCACCAGAGTGTTTAGCAGAGGAAAACAATACATCTGGCTCCCTGCTGTGTAGCATGTCACTTTGGAAACTCCAACATAACCAGAAACGCAAGCATTTTTATTTGCTGATGACTACGTTTTGGCACATGCATTTCAATTAACAGTTAGTTCTTGAATACAAGCAGACAATTCAGACATTTAAAAATATTTCTCAGTATTTTATCTTTGACTTTCAAGTAAACTGCAATTCA